TCGTGACTTCAACCAGCTAGCCATTTCCCTCTCTTTGATTCCTTAAGCATTCAATGAGCATTTGAGGAGCAGGGCTCCTGGTCAAAGGCATCCCATTCCCCAAAACCTCAGTGTTAGTACTAAAGCTGGAGACCTATCAAATCTAGCCGAGGTATAGAAGGGTATAAATGGCTCATCTTTAGTTGATGAAGTAGTTAACTACTTCATGGCTGCCTTAAGTTCTATTTAGGTGGAAAAGATTTTCAGTGGAATGGATGTGCAAGTGGGTGAACAAAGGCACCAACTCCTAGTGATCAGAAATCCTGATAAGGCAGACTTTTGGATCATGCAGAGCAGCCACTCTCAACCTTTTTTTTTGGGGGGGGGGACATGACTATAATAAACACAATATGAAAGAAATACAGACCGAATCACTTTTTTCTTTTGGACATGACCATAAACACAATATGAAAGAAATACAGACTGAATCAGGATTGTATACGTTATAAAAGGTGGTGTGTGAAGGATTGTTTCCACTCTATGGCCCCCATTGAGAATGGCTGATGTAGAGCTTTGTAACTTCTATGTCTTTTCTGCCATTTAGGGTTACCTTTCACAAAGAAAAATACATTTTATATGACTCTGTGATCTGGCAATTTTTTTTCCTGTCAATTAAGTTCTTGAAGGCAATAATATTATTGGTCTTTAAGGAAATGTTTTTGTTCAAACAAAATGCAGTTTGCCAAGTATTCCTGGCATATTCATTTGGCAGTTCCACACAGTCCATAATATCAAAATCAAAGTAATAAACTAGATACGTCAGCAGTCATACTTAATGAAGCTGTACTTTGCATTTCTAGTTATACTCCTCACTTAAGTGATAACATAGATTATACATCAAAACGTAGGCAGGGCCAGAGCTACCACTAGGCAAACTAGGGGACGACCTGGAGCGCAGACCTGAGAGGGGCGCAAACCTGACCTCAGGGGGTCACAGGGCTGAACTCAGAGGAGCACAGAACTGATCTGAGAGAGACACAGTTTTATACAAACTAGTTTCTTGAAAAAAATTGCAACTGAAAATTTATATTTTAAAATTTTAAGATAAATACCACAACAGTGCTATGGAATATAATTATTTATAAAGTCTTATAAAATTTTTCTTTATACTGCAAACCAGGGGTCATTTCATAGTAAAAGGGTTGCTGGTACTCTCATTAGCATAACTCATTTGCATATATCACCCCTGGCATCAATGGAAGGAAGCAAAAAACTGGGTAAGTAAAAATAAATAAATAACTTTCAGAGTAGCCAATACTGCACACCCTTGAGTTCGCCTCCCTGAGGTGACCCCTGCTGCAACCCCTATTTCTTACAAATGTCCCATTGACACCAGCCACTGTGATATACTTCCTGGGGTTATAAGTCATTGAACAGGGCTAATGGACAGGCAGCAGTAGGGGAGAAAATTTTGGTGAAGCTTCTCTCACTTAGCTTTTGGTCTCTTTTAAGCTTTATTTATTTATTTATTTATTTATTTATTTATTTATTTATTTATTTATTTATTTATTTGATTTTTCCCCCGCCCCTCTAGACAACGTC